AGAGTGAAAGAAGAGGGAGGCTGTAGCCACCAGTGATCAGGTCAAAGGTCAAATCAACAGTCTAAGCACCTGGTGGGCATTGGTTGCGCTGACACGAGACTCATAAGAGAGGATAGAGATAGAAATGTCGTAATGCACAACAGGGGCTTGGCAAAGGGAATGGGAAAACAGGTTGAGGCCGTCACTCAGCCTAATCCCATTGCAGACTTAACGAAATTGTGTGTGTGTGTGTGTGTGTGTGTGTGTGTGTGTACGCGATATGACGTCCGAAAGTACAATCTTACTTCCATTTCGAGTGAAAGTGTTGGGTGAAGAGATTCGAAGGTCGGTTCCACCAGAAGACGACGGCGAATTCCTCTTGACCAGCTGTTGGGTGAAGAGATTCGAAGGTCGGTTCCACCAGAAGACGACGGCGAATTCCTCTTGACCAGCTGTCGATTAGGTTGAGGAGATTCGAAGGTCGGTTCCACCAGAAGACGACGGCGGATTCCTCTTGACCAGCTGTCGATTGGTTTTACTGGAAGATTCATGCTGACGCGAGGATTCGAAGGTCGGTTCCACCAGAAGACGACGGCGAATTCCTCTTGACCAGCTGTCGATTGGCTTTACTGGCATTGGAGAGACAAAAGATCAACATTGTTGGGATTACTTCCATTTCGAGTGGAAGTGTTGGGTGAAGAGATTCGGAGGTCGGTTCCACCAGAAGACGACGGCGAATTCCTCTTGACCAGCTGTCGATTGGCTTTACTGGAAGATTTGTCGGTTCCACCAGAAGACGACGGCGAATTCCTCTTGACCAGCTGTCGATTGGCTTTACTGGAACATTCACGGTGACGCTATTTCCGAGAAATCGCTTGTTTCATAATTGTTGAGCTTACTTTCATTTTGAGTGGAAGTGTTGGGTGAAGAGATTCGAAGGGAGAAAAGTTGGGTTTCGAGGAATCTCTTGTTTCATAATTGATGAGCTTACTTCCATTTAGAGTGAAAGTTTGGGTGAAGAGATTCGAAGTTTCCAGAAGACGACGGCGAATTCCTCTTGACCAGCTGTCGATTGGCTTTACTGCAAGATTCATGCTGACGCTCAAAACAATTAAAGCGAAACAATTAACATTTATAATGGCAGATATCAAGGCCAACATGTTGTGGTCAGTGATTTAATCGAGGTCTCATTTTGATGAATGGCGGTGGCCTGGCGTCATTTGTGCGAGTTAGACTTTGGACAAGGTGCTTTCATCCCGATCACCTTGACAACACGACAAAATTGCGATAACGAGAAAATAATACCAATTTAATGTGACTGTGCGTTTCATTCTAGCAAA